ACTGTCGAACTAAACAAGAAAAACACACGAATTTATTAAACTTTGACAACCACAGATATATCCAAAACAAATAGCCATTACAGCTACTGTCTAACTAAACAAGAAAAAACAAACAAACACGAATTTATTAAACTTTGACAACCACATATATATCCAAAACAAACAGCTAGGATATAAAATTCACCACTTACCAAAAACACAATAATAAGTACTTAAAATAGTGAAATACGTGCCTAGCCAGGACTTGATACTAACGTTAATCAATGAACAATACTACATAAATTAAATATCAATGTTACTAATTATTTCAAAAGGTAAAAGGAATCAGGAAAAAGAACCCGAAGAAGAAAACCCCTAATTCCAAAATAACCCAATATTCCGAATTTAAACAATTTTGAGAATTAATACTTTAACTATATCTCGTGAACTAACTTGTCCCCCCCCCCCTCAGTGGCATAGAGGCATGTTTGCGGACTTGCAACGATAGAAACCGGGTTTCGATACCCGTGGTAGGCAGAGCACGGATTGGATAGCTTTGTGCTTAATTAAAAAGAAACTTGTTTAAGCCCAAGGCAGGGTTTTTTATTTCGTGACTATAACATGAGGTTATGTCTCATGTGACTAACTAATTTACATAATCTTTCTGTACGTCACCGCTAGGGGAAACTTATGTCAGTTGTATAATACATACATACTCTTCAACGTACTCTAGCAAGAAGGTGAGTTAGCACTTTACTATAGCTAAAAATTCATAGTTAAACTAAATGATAGAAGGAAAAATAAATTAACTGTAAATAAATCCATAACAAAATAAAAGCAGAATTTACTATCTCACAAACTCTTAACTCGTAGCAATTTGTATAAGTATCTTTTCCACAACTTGAAATTTTAAAATATATTTTAAACCCTTCCAATTCACTAGTATCTCAAAAAGTAACCATCCTTGCCGGTCTTTTCTTGTCTCTAAAGAACTTTAAATTCAACAACGAACATCACTTTAAGATTAACGGTACCGTAAAAGTGATCAAAATAGCTTCTAAATATACCAACATACTTATAGGCCATAATGAAAACCAGCTGTTATAGCAAATCACTGTGAAACCTCGCACTTATAAACGCCACATAGATGATATATATATATTTTTCATTTGAAAAGCCGGTCCTGAATTACTTACTTTATTCTTATGCTAATCACCTTTCACAAAAAAAATCAAATTTACTCTTAATTACTCCCCTACCCACATTAACTTTCGTAACTTCACTGTCAGTTCTATTCGCTAACTCGGATATAAAACCTACTAACAATATCTTCACTACAGTAGCTACCATCCCACCCATAATCAAGCGCTCCGAATCAAGAAAATTTGTACTGAAACAACATACAGAAAATACACTGAGAATCTAAAACAAACTATGTTACAAAAAAAAAAAAAGGTTAAAAAGACTGAAATTGACAAATAGATTTAAAGAG